ATCTATTGAAATAAGTAGATTTCTTGAAATTATTTTTCTGTTCTACTTTTTTTCGAATTACTTAAAAAGAATCATGTTTCTTGAAATTCATAAAGAATTCTTGTTGAAGATAAATTATCTTGAGAATGAAATGATGGGCGCCTTTAATGAGTTGAAAAACGCTAGCGTTTGTTTATCTCTTGCGCTATATATAAAAGTGTGTGTGTGTGTATATGTGTGTATGTAAAATCAGATAGACACACACACACACACACACACACACACACACACGCACAGCAAATCCAAAACACTAATATATTTATTTGTTTGTTTTACAGAATGGAACACTTATGGACATCGTAAGAATGAATAAGCTTTCATTATAAAGATGTTTGTTGCTAGATATTAAATTTTTTTCTTTATAAATTCAAATAGATTCCGGACAATGGACAATCTAAAAAATTGTATATATGATAATCTTGTGTATATGATATTTCAAAAATGATACATGTACATATTTTATATATAAATCTTTTTTAAAAATGAAGTATATTTTATATTTGTTTTGTTAATAAGAAAAGTGTATAGTCCTGTTATAAAAAATTGATAACAAAGAATGTTATAGCGCAGGAATTGTCATAATATTGCAAAAATTAATAAATATTAGTTTATAAATTTGAAACTTTGATTTATGTTAGTAGATATGAATCATTAAAATGTGTTTTAAATATCAAACGTTTAGTATGTAATGTTTCATATTATGTATAATAAGACTAATAAGTAATACTATAATTACAGTATAATATTTTAATTATAATATTAATATGCTGTAATAATTATATTACTAATTTCAAACAAGACCGATATATGTATACGACAAATAAGAAGAAAAGAGCCAAATTCGATCGAGGCTAGATGTTGGTTGCCCAATAATTTACAATAGCTAAAATTTAAAGATTTAACAAAAATTAAGAGTATTGTTGGACAACCAACATCTAGCCTGGGCCAAATTTGGCTCTTTACTTCTTATTATTTATATTATTGATATTAATTATAATATGTAAAAAAATAAGAATGTTTTTACTAAATTCAATCAAATAATTTTTATGTGTAATAGATGTGTGATCTCTCTTTATTTTATTTGAAAATATTACAAAAACTTTCTCATTCGTTATCTCAGTTTCCAATTTATTTTCTTTCTAATTTTATTATGATAATTCAAATGTAAACATTTTATTTTATGTTTTAGATCGTGTAGAGCTCTTATATTTCTATGTGTGTATAGAAATAGATATTGTTAATTTTACTCTTTTTGAATGATTCTTAATTCCTTCATTTCCAATTAATTATTTAACAGCAATAAAAAATATTTGTATTTCTGTACATATTATATGACTAATAAACAATTTCATAATCTTTTGACGTCATTGAAACATATAAAAACAAGTTATTTTTATTTTCTTCGAGTTATTTTTATTGCAATTGTGTAAACAATTTGCATTACAAAGTTATTATACATAATAAAAAACCTTTTCTTTTGTCTTTCGTAAATCCATTTAAAATATGTCAAGAAAATTATATAATTCTGCAAACTTTTATTGTATATTTATGGTCAATTCTATTAGCACACTTCCGTCAATAATTTTTGTCGGTAACAAAATATGACTTTATTGGCAAAATATGACAGAATGATAAGCTAAATACTTTTTGTCACTAAACTGTAACGGCGTCAAATGACATATTCTACATTACGGAAACATTTTTAAATACATATCAAAATATATGCTAAGTCCTTTATCATCTATATATAACAAGATTATAAGAAATTAATTATGTATTTACAGATATGAAAATATTGACTATACTAATATATATTTTATTTCATAATTTGTAATACATAGTCATATATAGCTACAGGAATAACAAGACTACACAAGACTGTACAAAAATAGAACAGTCGTTATATATTGGTTCACAGTGTTCACATTCTAAAGCTAGAAACTTTCCAGTTTCTGTACACGCTACCGATGATTAGTGTCATTACGCTTTTTTATTATAGCAAAAAACTGCGCAACAACACCGAAATTAGCGGAAGCATATATAGAATATTACTTCAGCAAACATTTTGGTTGTGGAATGTTGCCAAATGGGAAACAAATACTACCGGAACAAAAATGCCAAAGCCATATGTCTCTCCAGTTGTTCTCCAATGTAAATCAATTTTGAAGAACATATTTCGCAGTCAAATTGATGACAATACCAGAGCAGATCTGACAATATATAAACAATGCGACAACAGATTGATACAACAAATCCAGGACAGATCTATTTACTAATTCGAGTCATTTGTCGTCAACATACAACGTTGTTGCATTTTTGCAAGATGCACTATTTGCAATAGCAAAACTGCTTGTTATTTGCCATCAATATGTTTGATAACTGCTTGCAATTAGCTTATCATTCTGTCATATTTTGCCAATAAAGTCATATTTTGTTACCGACAAAAATTATTGACGGAAGTGTGCTAATAGAATTAACCATAAAATGTTTGCGGCCTTTCGATAAACATAATTTAATTGTTACCAGCATTTGCAATTGCAGAAAATGTTATAGAAGTTAACATTTAACATATTAGGTAATATTAAATTAAAGAGATCCGGAAACCGCGCATATTATGTGAATGCTTATAAATAGCGGCCGGGGATTCAATTATTCAATTATTTTCGTAGATAGTGCAGAAAATTATTTTGACGATTTTCCTTATTAGCCACTCAGGGAAATGTTTCGCTGTTTCAGCTGGAATTCTAAATATTACACTCAAATTATATCGCTGTTTTTTGTATCTGCTAAAAAATTATCATACGTAGAATTTATAGCAGCAATATTCTAAAAATATATACAAGAAAATACAGGTCTCATAACTAAATATGATTGGAGTCTGGATTGGAATCTGGACTGATTAAACGTCATAGAGGAACTTTCTTGCTAAATTTGACAAATAGTTTAGATATAATTTCTTTCTCTGTTATCTATATTGATTAAATACAAAACATATATGGTATCGCAGTGCTTACTAATCACTTATTCGTTTTAGCTAATTTTTCGCACCTAAATAATTCTCGCTGCAATTGCAAGATTACTTTTTTCAGTGGTCATATTTATTTAATTTTATTGAATATTTAATAATGTCACAAACTGCTTAAGCAAACACAATAGATTTCCGCATACATGTATGTACTTATACAAGACAGTTTCGAAATTAAAAAGAAATAAAGTTTGTGGCAACCCTCAATTATGCGGTAAATTGCTCTCATATTACACGCTCTTTTTGAAACTGGTTTACTTTAGTACAGTCAGTTCATCGCTGTGGCAATGGCAATTATTTTACGGTAAGATTATTTCTGTATAATGTGGATTTATTTTGTTGGTAATTTTATTAGATTTAAAATATTCTTAAATGTCTCATTATTCCATTTATATATTTAATATTAACAATAAAATTTTGTTAAAAATTAAATTCAGTAGAATTTTTAAACTCTTCTTGTTTTAAGATAAAATAAAAATAATTTGCTGTCATAATTAAATATTAAGTTATTTCTTCACTTTTTTTACAATAAAAAATTTATTCCCACGTTTTAAAAATGAGTCTCGTATAATCCGGATATTTATAATTCAAAATTTTCTCAGTCTAAGCGTTATACAGAGTGTCCTATTTTATATTTGATAGTCAAATATTTGGAAATTGCGAGGTTTGAGAGAAAAATGTTTCAGACAAAAGTTTTGGGACTTCGAGGGTGACATAAGATGATAACATTGGTTTGACTCTGAGTGGCGTCGTCAAGGTCACGACAAGGTTACTTTGAATTTTTTTAACGGAAATCCCCATTTTTCATTGCATATTCTTATTTCGAGAGCTTTCCAAAACACATAGATAAAATGTTTTTTGGTTAAGTAAATCTCGAGTTATAAAGCTTGAAAGTTACAGTACCACGTTAGCATTATCCAAGGTGTCCGAACAATGGCGGAAATCTTTTGAACGTTGTTCAGGATTATGAGGTTGACAACATGTGTCAAGATCATAATTGTTGGAGGATGTTTCTGTTTTTTTTCCATAAAATAAAAATAATTTTCAAAAATGAAAATAAGAGAAACAATCTCTAATAATCACGGCCTTGACACATATTGTCAAAATTATGATCCTGAATAACATTCAAAAGGTTTCAGCCATTGCTCGGACACTTTAGATAATGCTAATGCCGGTGGTACTGTAACTATCAAGCTTTATAACTCGAGATTTACTTAACCAAAAAACATTTATCTATATGTGTTTTGAAAAGCTCTCGATATAACCTACAAGAATATGCAATAAAAAATAAGGATTTTCATTTAAAAAATTCAAAGTAACCTTGTCCTGATCTTGACGACGTCACTCAGGGTCATACCAATATGTTATCATCTTATGTCCCCCTCGAAGTCCCAAAACTTTTGCCTGAAACATTTTTCTCTCAAACCTCGCGATTTCCAAATATTTGACTGTCAAATATAAAATGGGACACTCTGTACATACGGGATCGAGTTTGTCGTATTTGGTTTCACTTACTTATAGTTGTTTTATTAGAACATCAAGAACGGTAAGATTCTAATTTACTTAGTAATCTACAATACATATCGTTAATACGTAATATTTTTCAAGATTTTAGATTACTTTTCATTACCTGAAAAATGCTAATTTTTTATTTATGTCACTTTTCTATCAACGGAGCAATGTAATTTGCATATCTGCAATATTAACCAGTAGTACTTTTACCTTATTACGCAGATGGAAGCAATTCTTATAATAACAATAATAATAATAATTTATTATATACAATAGTTTACAAATTTGATAAGTATTACACAGTTATAAAGCTACAGAGATAAAAATAAAATAACAGAGGCGTACAAAAGGTGTGGTAGCCCAGCGGCTGATATGATATCCTACCTGAATATTAATCCACATCATCTTGGCGTTTTCAGAACTTCGGGAGGGGAAGCAAAAATTTATCTTTGGGGAGCACAAAATTTAATTATTACAACCCTTATATTAGAACCAGTTTTCGAGGATTTTCGGTGAATTTATTAATTAGTACTTCTTCTAACTACGTATTTCCACAAGAAAACTACTGCGATTAAACTATCTAACGAGTTAAGACATGTAACGCTAGATGACAGATTGATCGGGATTTCTCATTTATAAAACAAAATCCTTCTGTGTGAGGAACATTTATTGAACTACTACATTTACTAATACTACTATATATATATACAGTCGAACCTCTGCAACTCCTCTTTAAGAAAACCTCTCTAAGACGAAAATTTTGTTCGTCCTCTTTCGCTTCGCTGCGGAAAATTTCTATAAATCGAAATAAAACCTACCTTAACTCGTATTATTTGTCAGGCATTTAGATATATATTTTACCTCT